TTTGTTCCTGGGAGCATGTCAGTGCAGCATCCACTTACAAGCTGTGGTACTTTTAAACAATGAAATACTATGTGGCTCTAAAAAGGAAGGAATTCTTACCTTTGGAACAGCATGGATGGACCTGGATATTATTATGCTAAGGGATATAAGCCAGTCAGAGAAAGACAGAATACCATATGATCTCACTTACATGTGGAATTTAATGAACCAAGACATAGATACATGAGACAGACTGACAGATGTCAGAAGGGAGGGTGTGTGTTTGTGTGTGTTTGGAGGAGGAGGGCACTGGATGAAAGAAGGTGAAGTTATTGGCCAAAGAACGTATATGCACACCCGTTGAACACAGACAACAGTGTGCGGTGATGGCCAGAGGGATGGTGGGAGGGGTTTGGGTGGAGTTGGGCAAAGGAGTGGGTAAATGGGGAACATCTATAATAGTGTCAACAATAAAAATAATGTTAAAAAATAAGTGTAATGAAGATGTCGCCAGAAAAACATGTACAATTTTTATAAAGATTATATACTGACTGAATACATTTTAATGAAAATATATTTTGAAACCTGATCTGCTGTGAACAAAATGACATATCTTTTTATGTGCTGTTGGTTTTAAAGTTAAGCTTCCTAATGCATAATAATAAATTTCCAATGGATACTTTGAGAACAAAAAAAATAAATAACCCTCTCTTCCCAAACAACAACAAGAAACTTAACAAGGAGACACTGGGCTATAAAATAATGTGTCTTATTCATACCCTGTGAATTGGCTTCCTCAGTGTATGTGGGTGAGGAACACATTTCAATTCAAATAATAAAGTAATAATAAAGTACCAACAAACATGGTATGTGCAGGAAAATATAATACCTTTAAAGTTGCTGAAACTTCAGGTTTGAGGATGAGAGTAGCAGATATAAGTCCTGAGAGATAAGCAGGTTCGGATCATGGAGACACTTTACTACAGAACTTGGACTTCATCCTGCACAGATGAAGGGATAGGGATATAGTTAGGCCTCCTAGCTAATAAGTTCTCATTGGGCAGGGTCTGCCCATGTTACTGTTGTTCTCAGACACAACTATCTGACCTCTAACATGGAGTCTGACTTAAATTAATAATTAGTATTTGAACTAATAAATAAATGAATTTATATGGAATTTGACATAAAAAATATACAGCCCTAACCGGTTTGGCTCAGTGGATAGAGCATCAGCCTGCGGACTCAAGTGTCCCAGGTTTGATTCCAGTCAAGGGCATGTGCCTTGGTTGTGGGCACATACCCAGTGGGGAGTGTGCAGGCGGCAGCTGATCAATGTTTCTCTCTCATCGATGTTTCTAACTCTCTATCCCTCTCCCTCTCTGTAAAAAATCAATAAAATATATTTAAATATATATATATATATATGGAAGAGCCCTGGCTAGTGTTGCTCAGTTGGATGCGTCTTCCCATACACCAAAAGGTGGCAGGTTCAATCCTGGTCAGGGCACATACTTAGGTTGTGGGTCCCAACCCTGGTTCAGGTGCATAGGGGAGGCAATGGATTGATGTGTCTCTCACATCATGTTTTTCTTTCCCCTCCCTTCCTCTCTGGAATCAATAAAAAAACAAGTCCTCAGGTGAGGATTTAAAAAAAAATGTAGGGAGGAAAGTGAGTTGCATTATCATAAGCTTTTCTTAAAATTATTTCAGATGTGGACCTGGTATGCCTTAAAACAGCTTTCTTGTCTTTAAGAAATTTTTAACAAACTGATTTAATGTTACTAAATTTCATTGTGTCCAGATTTTTATTTTTACCCATTAAGGACTGATTTCATATTTGTATAGATTTTGTTTTTGTTTGTTTTTAAGCTTTCACAATTTTTATTAAATCCTAGTCTAACTTAAGGATATCTGATTTTATAGACATCATCCTATGGTGAACATGTTTAATAAATGAAAGCAAATCAGACATCAAATTCATTATTTTCTGCAGACTAAGCAATAAGGTAACTACTACACAGAACGCTACAGGTCCTGACATAACGCTTACTTGCTCAGAGTTTTCATACAAGCCATGCATGTTGTTTATCAAACTATATTTCCTAATATTTAATACAGTTGAGTTAGTGATTGCAGTTCTCATATAATATTTTAGTTACAAGTACCTTATTAAGATAACTAACATTTGGACAGATTCACTGGTTTTCCAGATTAGCATAATATATTTAAGAAAAAGAGCAAAAAGTAAAATGAAAACAGAACATGACAAGTTATTAAGTGAAAATGAGGTCAAGTTAAAAAAGGGAAAGTTAAAATATCACTGAGGTGGAAATCAAAGCCTAGACATCCTATCTAATAATAGCCAAAAATGGTAATTGACCGTACCTTCGCTATGCCTCCCATTGGCTTATCGGCATGATATGCAAATTAACTGCCAACAAAGATGGCGGTTAATTTGCATAGACTGGCTGGGAGCGAAGCAAGCCACGTGGCCGAAAACAAGCTGGGTGGCTGAGGGAGGTGGGAATGAAACAACCCGGGCCGGGGGGCGGAGGGAGGCGGGAACGAAACAACCCAGGCTGGGGGGTGGAGGGAGGCAGGAACCAAACAACCCGGGCCAGGCAGCTGAGGGAGGCGGGAACAAAGAACCCAGGCCGGGGGGCAGAGGGAGGTGGGAATGAAACAAGCCGGACATCCCCCATGGGTCCCAGACTGTGAGAGGGCACAGGCCAGGCTGAGAGATCCCCCCTCCCCTGTCCCTGAGTGCACAAATTGTTGTGCACCGCACCTCTAGTTTGTTTAGAAGCAAACAGACCAACTATAAATTTCATAGGTCAAGTTTATAAATTCAACACAGTATTAATCCTTTTGAATGTAAAAGCCAAGTTTAAATTAAAAGGTCTATAAACTGTTAACTTTTGGCCTTAAATAGTACCAATTCTTTTGATCAAAGGAGGCCACAACAGTAAAGATTGTATTATTTGATTTGATTTTACACTAGGTGATGGGCCCAAAGCAATCCCCCTGAATAATGTTGACAATTAGCTTCACTGAGAACATTTTAAATAATGCACATTAAAACAAATATTCTGACCAATTGTTCTGCAATCCAAATATACAATAGCTGGGGAAACAACGTTTAAAAAACAAAAGCCAATGTAAAATGACATATTAAAACAACTGGAACAGTACAGGTTTTATATGGCTCTGCGTTCACAGTTTTCTTATTGCATCATCAATATCAGAAATCTGTTCCTTCAGCTGGTAGGATTTAAATAAATACCTTTTCTTCCTGATTTCATTTCACCTCTGGATCCATCCAATATTCTCTGGTATCAATTAGGACTTTTCTTTGAAAGTCCCGAATGCTGACATACCTCATCTTCCCAATCTGAAACATGTTATCTCTGCTGCTGCAGTTCTGCTTGGAAGATGGCAGGACTCTTGAAGTTTCACCAATCTTTTGCTTTTTTACAGTTTTTCTGAAGTAACTTGTTTTTTCCTCTTTCACTTTTTGTCAACTTCATTCTCAGAATCACTGCCAGAAGAGCCTGAAGAAACAAGTTCCTTTGATTTAGGCATTGCTCCCTTACTGCTACCAAATAGGCCTGTGCTCACTCACTGGCTCTGGATAGATTTTATAAAGTATCAACTTAGTGCTTATATTATCTTACACTTAATTTTATAGTGCTAATGGAATTTCTACATTTCAATTAATTTCCTATTAAATGTATTCAGAATCCTATATAATAAAAGTCTAATATGCAAATTGTCCTCTTTACTGGGAGTTCGACCACTCACTATGACGTGCGCTGACCACCAGGGGCAGCCCAGAACATGGTGGGCATCGGTGACGTGGTGCTGGTAGTGGGCGGCAGTGGAGGTGCTGCCGGCCCCAGTGGGCCCCAAAGAGAGTGGATTGTGGTGGGATGGTGGAGCAGGTGAGCGGGCAGTGCCAGGCCAAGGCAGGTGCGAGCGGGAGCCCAATCAACCTGCAGATGGCGACCAGCAGTTGGGGGTGGGGCCACTGCCTGGCTCCCAGGTGCCGAGGGAGCCAGGCAGTGGTCTCGGCCACGATCGATCGCCCTGCATATAGCTACCAATGACAGCAGTTGGAGGTGGGGCTGCTACCTGGCTCCCAAGCACTGAGTGAGCTGGTTGCGGGGTGGTGGGGGGCGCCAACTGATCGCCCTGCAGACTGTGACCAGCGACCAGCAGGCCCTGATCACCCAACTGGAGCCAGGCCCTAGCTGGGACGGGAAACTGGGGGTGGTGGCAGCACCCAGCCTCCTGTGGCGCTCAGGTGGGGGCCTGCAACCTCTCACCAGCTACCTGGGGGTGGGGGTGATGGGGATGGAGGTACAGTGAGAATACGGGGTGGGTGTCTGCTGAGCTTGCTCTCACTCCCCCTGCTGCCCTCCCCTGAGATGCCAGTGCTCGTGCACTGGGGAAGCCACCGTGCTCAGGGGACCTGCTCCGCATCTGCCCGGCCTCTTCTGGGTAAGCTGGGCCCAGCTGCCAGAACCTCAGGGGACAGTTGGGCTCTCCATGGGTTTGCTCAGGAGCTAGTCTGCGGCTTCCATGTGGCACTGCTGGGTGGCTGAGAGGTCCATGCTGCACCCTGGCCCGTGGCATCTGGCTGCACTCACTACATCTCCACATGGGGTCTCAGGTGGAGTGGAGCAGGTGGGGGCCCAGGGCTCCAGGTGCTTCCCAGGACCCAGAGTTCAGCTGTGACCTGCCCTTGCACGCCAGACGCTTGCGCTTCGATCGCCAGCCAGGCCTAGGGACTTCACCCATGCACAAATTTCATGCACCGGCCCTCTAATTGATATATAAGAAATCAGCTGAGGTGTAGGAAATATATTTGTATATACATAAAAATATAGGCTTCATTATGTAAATGAATAATTATAATGGTTTGTATTCATGTTTATTATACTAGGTACTCCTGGATATCTGTTACATCTTTGTAAGTAATAGAACTTAAACTATATTATAAAGTTTTTTTTCTCCCACAGAAGTAAATTTCCCCAGAAGGAATTGGAAATGCTGTTTCCTGGAATGAGTGCTGACTTTACAAGTGAGAATTTTTCAGCTGCCTGGTATCTGATAGAGAACCACTCAACCACCAGGTTAGTGATGTGGAACTGTTGATTGTGAGTTGTTCACTCAGATGCAGTAAAGAGGATTATTCAGTGATGTGGGTTTTAGGTCTAGTTCTCTCAGAGCCCTTTAACTTTGGGTGAGCTTGTGGACCTCTCAAGGCACCTATTTTCTTATTTATAAAGTGGGATTATTAATTAGAGGGGCCTTATTCCTTACTATCGTGTTGCTTCTATCAGTTTCATTATTTGTGCAACCCATTAAAACTTTGCTGAGTTTTAGCTATGTAATAAAACTTATATGTCTGAATGTTACTTTTCGCAACTCAACAAAATTTTCAAGCCTTGGTGTAATGTAGGAAACACACCTTCTTCCCAGATCACAGAGCAAAGGAAGATGACTTGGTTTATCATTTTGCAAAGACTTGGTGTAAAACTAGGCAAAAAAATAGACAAAGTTATATATCTAAATTAAAGTGCTCCTTTTTGTTTGCTAATTATATTTTACCCATTTTCTCTACAAGATTAGATTTTTAACTTTTTTTGCAGATTGTTTTAAAACAATTATATTTAGTAAAAATGCTTTAATGAATGTTTTATTGCTTAAAATTTATATTCTTGAAAATTCAACTTGTTAAAATATAACTTAGGAGAAATTCTTCATCTATTATTAGGAAAACCATTAGTAGAAAACATGAGGAAAAGTTGGTATATACATAGGATAAATTTTCCTGATAAGTTTTTAAAGCAAATGTCTGAAATCTTTCATTATAGGAGACTAGAGGCCCGGTGCCTGAAATTAGTGCACCTTGAGGGGGCGGGGGGTTCCCTCAACCTGTCCTGCGCCCTCTCGCAGTCCAGGAGCCTTGCGGGTATGTCTGACTGATTGCTTAGGCCAGTGATGGCAAACCTTTTGAGCTCAGCGTGTCAGCATTTTGAAAAACCCTAACCTAACTCTGGTGCTGTGTCACATATAGAAATTTTTTGATATTTGCAACCATACTAAAACAACGACTTATATTTTTGATATTTATTTTATATATTTAAATGCCATTTAACAAAAAAATCAACCAAAAAAATGAGTTTGCGTGTAACCTCTGACACGCGTGTCATAGGTTCACCATCACTGGCTTAGGCTCACTAAGTCATCAGTCGGACATCCTTAGCATTGCCACAGAAGCGGGAATGGTTCCCACCACTGCCACTGTGCTCGCCAGCTATGAACACGACTTCTGGCTGAGCGGCAGTCCCCCTGTGGGAGCACACTGACCACCAGGGGACAGCTCCTGCATTGAGTGTCTGTCCCCTGGTGGTCAGTGCGCATCATAGTGACCGGTCATTCCACCCTTCGGTTATTTGCATATTAGCCTTTTATTATATAGGATACACTGTAGATGAGGCCTCCTAGAACCATAGGAAATGCAAAAAGTTCACTGTTAACTCATCCTCAGATTGACCCCACTTAAAATCAAATTGCCCCCCTGTGGGGCGTGTGCTGCACCTCGGGAACCACTGGGCTTGACACTTCCTGTCTGAGCTTCATTTCTGAATACGTATGCATATACCGTGGTAATTGTAATCTCTTCTCCGCCTACCTCACTGGGTTGTCATGAGGAGGTTCTGAGCTAATAAACTTAGAAATGTTTCATCAAGTAAGTGATGTCTAAATGGGAAGGGATTGTTATTTTTAAGCCCACGGGTACCCTCACAGGAAGCAGGTACTGATTAGGGGAGGAGGGCATGATTGTTTCCTGGGATTGTAGCTATCAAAGCTTTGGAGAGGGTTCCACAGGCCTTGGAGGGGCATGCTCTTGCCAGTAGCCCTGTAGTGGTGTTCATCCCTGGAAGCGCTGGCCAGGGGGTCGTAGGGGGGCTCTAGTGGGGCAGTGAGGCCAAAGGGGGGTAATTGTCAAACCTCCCCGCTTGGCGTCATTCTTTAAATTGTATGTGGCCGTTTCACAGCTATACGTGCTCAGGGCAGGGTTCCAATCTTCTGGAGTGGGGTGGGGGCTGGGCCAGGGTGGGGCCAGGTGGGCTAGGAGGGCGGGTTTAGCTCTGGCCCCCACGAGGTTCAGTGCACTTCCACTGCAGAGATGGTGCCGCTGCTATCGGGGGGATGGGTCTGACCCTGAGGGGCCACTCGGGCCTGCCTCCACCCAGGTCTGGAGTTGTAGGGAGGAGAGGCGTGCCCAGCCCCAGCGAGGGGGCCCAGCAGTGGCGGGCTTCGGGGGCGCTGATAGGTCATCGCTGGCATGCTATTGTTGTGGTCGATAGGTCATCGCTGGGATGCTATTGTTGTGGTCGCCCCTGGTGGGGGTGACGAGGGAAGAGATCAGGAGTCAGAGGTGTGGGCTGTGGCTACCCCCGTGGCTGGTTCTTCTCCCTGTCAGGTCAGCCTCCCCAACCCCCTGGGGGTGTGTGGGCTGGAGTAGGGTGTCCGTGCAGGAGGATTGGAAGAGCTCCCCATGGTTGCTTCCTCTTCCTTCTTTATGGTTCAAGCTCCTGTCAGGCGCTGTCCTCAGACCCCTGGGAACTTGGTTCCGGCCTCCCCACCCATCTGTGGCTCCCTGCCACCACCACCCCCCCCCCTACTTGGCTCTCCCAGGCTGCTAGCCTGTCAGAAGGCTGTCGGGGCACCCTGCTGCGGGCAGCACGATCCCAGGGCAGGGGGTGGGGGTGTGGGGAGCAGCTCCAGTAAAGTTTAGTAAACCCCAGGTCCGCATCGGGATATGGCTACAGGGCCATGGGGGAGCCTGCCTGGGTGGGACAAAATCACACAAGGCCCCACAGCCCCACCCACCCTGCTGACTGGTCATGATGTGATGGCATCATGGATAATTTGCATATCCCTCTATTATTAGTATAGGTGGTTCTGATTTTACATTATGGATGTGCTTTTTCTGTTACTAAGTCAGAATTGACCTCTTTTCTGTGTAGGGCTATCATGGCACTCAATATATTCAAAGTTTTATAGCCTAATTTCTTAGCCCAGGTAGAAATAAAACTTCTGAAATACTGAGGACTACCTATTTTTTTCTCTGCTTGAGATATAAAATATTGTGGTCTTTTTAGTTACTTAGATCGTGTATTGAAAACCTTCCCCAGTTTTTTTTCTGTGATTCCACTGCTAATGACAGGATTGGCTGTTGATGGTAAGGACAATGGTGTGCTCAGTTTGTGTCCGGAATACAGAAATGAACATACAACCTGGCTTGTGTCGCTCAGTGGTTGAATGTTGACCCATGATCCAAGAGGTTGTCAGTTCAATTCCTGGTTAGGCCATGTGCCTAGTTTGTGGGCTCGATTTCCAGTAAGAGGCATGCAGAGGTCATGCAGGAGGCAGTTCTCTCATTGATGTTTCTGTCTCTTTATCCATCTCACTTGCTCTCTCTCTCTCTAAAAAAAAAAAAAAAACAGAGAAAAAATCACTAAAAGAAGTGAACTTACAGAGGAGATACTGCTTGATCTAGGCCAGCGGTCAGCAAACTCATTAGTCAACAGAGCCAAATATCAACAGTACAACGATTGAAATTTCTTTTGAGAGCCAGAATTTTTAAACTTAAACTATATAGGTAGGTACATTGTTATAAACTTAATTAGGGTACTCCTAAGGCTTAGGAAGAGCCACACTCAAGGGGCCAAAGAGCTGCATGTGGCTTGGGAGCCGCAGTTTGTCGACCACGGATCTAGGCTTTAACACCAGAGAAATGATATTCAGAACCTTTCACCAGGCATATGTATATATGACATACTAGTATATTGGTCATAAAAATACCTGCATGTATAGTTCCATCATAAGGATCCTAATATATAAAAAGCCAGTGGTCGTCATGACCAAAATAACCGGACAGACGACCGAACAGCAGGCTGCGTGGGATGACCAGGCCAGCAGGGGGGTTAATGAGGCATGACCAAACGACTGAATAGCAGGCTGCGTGGGGTGACCAGGATGGCAGGGGGGACAGTCCAGGCCTCTAGTCATATATTTGAATTGACCACTTGAGTGTTACTAGTATTTTTTCTAGCTGCTGTAATTTTGGCATTCACAATTAAAATTTTTAGCTCTAGGTAAGAATTTGAAAGCCTTTGTTTTCATCTGGTAACATATTAGTCTGTAACTTAATGTAGGCTTTAGTATTTTATACTTAATGCATTATCTTATTTCTTTTTTGCTTGTTAGGAGTGTTAAACTTTTGTTTTCTTTATTTCATTTCAGTTTTGAGCAGCTCAAAATGGCAGTCACCAACCTGAAGAGACAGGCTAACAAGAAGAGTGAGGGCAGCCTGGCTTGTGTGAAAGGGGGTCTTAGTACTTTCTTTGAAGCCCAGGATGCTCTTGCAGGTAAGGTGACCCTGAGAGCCATCTGCTGTGGCTTCCACAACAGAAACCTGACACTATGTTTGCAGAGTGTTTACAGGGTGTGACATTCTGTCTGTGTTTATAAAAGTTGAGATATAAAATGTGCCATAAATATTTGTTGCAGACTAGGCTGGAATCTCTTTGAAGGTTTGATACTTTAAATATTTGTCTCTGAGGATTTGTAGACCCATGGTACATGTGTGAAATAGGAGACCACTTTGCTTCTCCACAATGCCCAGTGTCCAGGGTTGATAAGAAATTAAATTCCAATGGGTTAAATTCTAGAGTTTTAAAAATCCCTAGCCATCACTGTCTTACACATGTGGCTAATTCTATAAATGTGACCCATTGTATGTTTGGTTTTGAAAAGACAGATAGTAATATATCCTTTTTAGCCATCATCCCAACAGTACCATACACAATATTTAACTGTTCACCTTGCATATCCTCATCTGTATATGTAATGGAAATTGTATTAAATAGAAATTATGTAGTTTTAGACATTTCGGGGAAGGATATTAGATAGGTTTTCCCCTCTAAAACTGTCTTTAATAGAAATCAAATTATTATTTATTTAGTGAAAAGTAAAATATATTAATAAATGTTAGCCCAATTCTTTTAAAAAACAAAGACCCTTATAACCTACATAGCTAAGTACTGACTAGACAAGGTGCTACACCTTCATTTCAGAAAGACTAAATCTTTTTTTTTTTTAAATATATTTCTTTATTGGTTTCAGAGAGGAAGGGAGAAGGAGAGAGAGATAGAAACATCAATGGTGAGAGAGAATCATTGATCGGCTGCCTCCTGCACACCCCCACTGGGGATTGAGCCTGCAACCCAGGCATGTGCCCTTGGCCGGAATCGAACCTGGGACCCTTCAGTCCGCAGGCCGACACTCTATCCACTGAGCCAAGCTGGCTAGGGCAGAAAGACTAAATCTTAAAATTAATTTCTATTCTTAAAGTACAGACATTCTTTTATTGTTTTTAAAGCCCCTTCTTCCTGCGCCAAACATGCATAGTTGACTTCTGACAAGTGAAATGTGCATCTGGTACAGCTCTTTCCTTGCAGGTAGAAATGAGGTTTTTGATGGGATAAAATGCAAATGCCCAGGATAGAACAGAGAAGTTAGATAGGCTTCTTTAATAAATATTCTGTGCCCCCTATTTTTTTAAAATACATTTTTATGAATTCATAGAGGAAAGGAGAGAGAGAGAGATAGAAAAATCATTAATGAGAGAGAATCATTGATCGGCTGCTTCCTACACGCTTTCTACTGGGGACCAAGCCCACAACCCAGGCATTACCCTAAGTGGAATTCAACTTTGAGCTCCTGGTTCACACACTCAACCACTGACCCACACCAGCCGGACTGTGCCCCCTAGTTTTTGATGAGTGTGTTTTTCTTTCTTTGACCTTATTGATATTCTAAGTTGTCAGTGTTATGTCCACAATAGAAACCTGAGCATATATGAACAGTTTAGTGTTAACAAATAGAATTAAGTTATTAGTATGCCTAGTACCTATACAAATGATAATTTGCATATATGATTAGCCATTCTCATAGGTTATTATAATTATAACTAGAGGCCCAGTGCACAAAATTTGTGCATGGGACGGGGTGGGGGGGGGTGCATCCCTCAGCCCGGCCTGCGCCCATTTGCAGTCCAGGACCCCTTGGGGGATATCCACCTGTTGACTTAGGCCCACTCCCCAGGGGATCAGGTTT